GTAAGACCACACCTGGAATACTGCAGCCAGTTTTGGTCACCATATCACAAAAAAGATGTTGAGAGTTCGGAAAAAAATCAGAGAAGGGCAACTAAGATGATCAGGGGCCTAGAGACTAAAACATATGAAGAACGGCTACAGGACTTGGGTTTGGCTAATCTAAAGAAAAGAAGAAATGGGGGAGACATGATAGCAATATTCCAGTATCTGAGGGGCTGCCACAAGGCAGAGGGGGTCAGGTTGTTCACCAGAGCACCAGAGGGAAGGATGAGAAACAATGGTTGGAAGCTGATCAAAGAGAGAAGCAACCTGGAATTAAGGAGAAACTTCCTGATAGTGAGGATAATCAACCAGTGGAACAGCTTGCCTCTAGAAATCGTGGGCACTCCATCACTGGAGATTTTTAAAAAGAGACTGGACATTCACCTGTCTGAGATGGTATAGGTTCTCCTGCTTCAGCAGGGGGCTGGACTAGAAGACCTCTAAGGTTCCATTCAGCTCTATTCTATTCTTCTTCAATGCTGGTAGCTGTTGCTACCGAACTATTTCCTCTAAAAGGTCTCACTAAAATTTCCTCCTGTTTTCTGAGATAATAATAATAGTAAAGTTGGAAGGGACTTTGGAGGTCATCTAGTCCAACCCCCTGCTCAGGCAGGAAACCCTATACTATTTCGGACAAATGGCTGTCCAGTCTCTTCTTAAAAACCTCCAGTGTTGGAACATTCACCTCTTCTGGAGGCAGGTTGTTTCATTGGTTAATTGTTCTGCAGGAAGTTGCTCCTTAGTTCTAGGTTGCTTAATGTAAAGTGATCTCTTTTCCCAAAGCATTTATTGAAAAAAGAAAAAATAGGGTGTGAACTAGCCTCTCTCAAATCTTTCAACTGTTTGCTTACACAGAAAGAAGAAGTATAATTATGCTCTGCTTGCATTATAGCTCAAGGTCAAAACTCTGTGATTTAGGCTGCTGTTGAGAGACAGTGACTACAGCAACTATATTAATATGGATTTGGTAACATTTTTCTTTCTTTTTTTGAGCTCACTCCGATCCAGTTTTATCGGAATTTTGATACTAACATCCACAATTAATGTTCACAAATGACAACATTGCTCTTTCTGGTATTAATGAACATAAATGAGCACCAGTATATGAGTTCATAAATAACAGCCTTATGAGACAAAAGTATGAAGGCTCTCCAGAATCTGCAGAAGTGCAGCAATCTTTAAGAAAAATAATAATTAGAAAAAAGTAACATGCTCTATTCTCTAAATCAGGGGAAGGCAACCTTGGCTCTTTTATGACTCGTGGACTTCGACTCCCAGAATTCCTGAGCCAGCATGGCTAAGCTTGGAAACCTCTCCCTTTCCCCTCAGCATGGTTGGCTCAGGAATTCTGGGAGTTGAAGTCCATGAGTCATAAAAGAGCCAAGGTTGCCTACCCCTGCTCTAAATAGTCTGGTAAAGATCTAATATAACCTATTCTACGAGACCTATAGAGTCCACTCTGCCCAGCCAAGCCAGCATATCTGTTAATAAAAGGAAAAAATGACAAAAATATATGAGCTTCCAAGTATCTCACTCAAAATTAAAAAGAAATTTTTTTAATTTTATTTTAGAGTTTTATCCTACTTTTATTTTTATAAACAACTCAAAGTGACAAACATAATCCTCCTTCCTCTCTCATTTTCCTCACAACAATCTTATGAGGTAGGATGGGCTGAGAGAGTGAATGGCCCAAGGTTCATCCAGCCATAGTCTCCCAATTTCTAGACTGGTGCCTTCACCAGTAGACTGGCTTTCTCGCAGTGAGATACCTGCTGAAAGTCTTCCACAAAAAGATGAAAATATCTTAACAGATGGAAGGAAGATATGTGTAGGAGTACAATTTAGGAAAATGTCAAAGAATATAACAGCAATCCCTGAACTCATTGTAACCTCTGGCCTGCTTCTTTCTCCAAGAGGTAAGTCAAGAGGTCAAAATACTCAAAATTAAAAATGTATCAGTCTTGGTGGAGAAGAATAAATCAATAGGAGTTGTTGAAGTTTGAGATGCTGTTAGCAAAAATCTCCATAGATGATGATGGCGGTGGTGGTGGTGGTGGAGGAGGAGGAGGAGGAGGAGGAGGCGAAGAAGAAGAAGAAGAAGAAGAAGAAGAAGAAGAAGAAGAAGAAGAAGAAGAAGAAGAAGAAGAAGAAGAAGAAGAAGAAGAAGAAGAAGAAGAAGAAGAAGAAGAAGAAGAAGAAGAAGAAGAAGAAGGAGAAGAAGAAGAAGAAGAAGAAGAAGAAGAAGAAGAAGAAGAAGAAGAAGAAGAAGAAGAAGAAGAAGAAGAAGAAGAAGAAGAAGAAGAAGAAGAAGAAGAAGAAGAAGAAGAAGAAGAAGAATTAAACGTATATGCCATCCAGCTCTCAGCAATTCTGGGCAGTTAGATTTCCATCTGTGTATTTCAAATTTGTTTCAGAAGAGATTTATTGCTTTAGAATAAAATTTTACTTCAGGTTTAGTTTCATTTCTATACAAAATAAATAAATAGCCAAAGAGTCTAATTATATTCTTACTGTAGTCCAACAGCTACCTGCATCCCATATTTTGCCCTAATATAACATTAGCCTTGAAAATCATGTTGTCTGACTCTAATACCTTAAGTTCATGATTACCAATTTAGATTAATTTAAGAAGGCATAAGCAGAAGTCTACAAACACAATGCCTACAAAAATCTCTGAATACCAAGGCAGAAGGGACTGAATATCATGCTTGAGAGCTTCCTGCTGGTACCTGTGTCGCCATAATGGTACAGAATCCTGACCCACACTGACCCTCAGTCTGATACAAAAAGGCAGCATTTCTATTCTTAAAGGTCTTTTCCGTTTTCTCTTGGCAATGAAAAGAAACACATGACATCATGGCTTGGATTAAATAATTAGACTAAGTAGTAATTCAGTTTTTCTGGTTTTGACGTACAGTGATATATGAACCCAGACTTTGATGAAATGAAATATAATCTATCTTTATTACAGTCCTAGACCAGCATAAGACATGGTGGAAGAATACAGTCCATTAAAGAAGGCACGGGTATATAAGAGTTATAAAAAGATGTAGGGAGATATAAAGAGTTATATGAAAGACATGTAAAATATGTATGGTTATATTTGTGGTTAGGTAGGAATAATGTAAATTAAAAGATTGTACGTTGCTAGGTTATAAACTACTCTGTGGTGGCCAAACAAAATTAAATGTGATTTATGATTTAGCATTGTGTGCGAATTAAATCTTAAAGCTGTTTGTGGTGGTATGAACTCTCTCCTCAAATTTGCTAGCAATTTATTTACTTATTTATTTTTATTCTGACTTTAGAATTTCTATAAATGACTCATGGCAACATTCCCCAGCTGGCTTTCATGCCTAAGGCGGGACTAGAACTCACCCTCTGCTGGTGATTGGCCCAAGGTCCCTCAGTTGACTTTCATGCCAACCACTATCATGACCACTCCCAAACTCACTTCAAACCATAGTTTCAGTTCCTATAACTACCTTGCCCGCTCATTTGCCATATGAATGTAGTTTCTCTACTCTCAGATAGCTCCACATGAAACTATTCAATGCGCTCAAGTGATGCTTTCATAAATTTGCTTCCCACACTTTCTCCGGAGCATCTAGAACATAGAACATACAACATAGAAGCATAGGGCTGGAAGGAATCTGAGAGATCCTCTACACCATTTCAGACAAATAGCTGTCCAGTCTCTTCTTAAAAACTTCCAGTGTTGGAGCATTCACCACTTCTGGAGGCAGGTTGTTCCACTGATTAATTGTTCTCACTGTCAGGAAATTTCTCCTTCGTTCTAGGTTGCTTCTCTCCTGGATTAGTTTTCATCCATTGCTATTTGTTCTGCCTTCAGGTGCTTTGGAGAATAGCTTGACTCCCTCTTCTTTGGGGCAGCCCCTGAGATATTGGAATCTGCTATCATGTCACCCCTCATCCTTCTCTTCATTAGACTAGACATACCCAATTCCAGCAACTGTTTTTCATATGTTTTAGTCCCTTAATCATCTTTGTTGCTCTTCTCTGTACTCTTTCTAGAATCTCAACATCTTTTTTACATCACGGTGACCAAACTGGATGCAGTATTCCAAATGTGGCCTTACCAAGGCATTGTAAAATGGTATTAATACTTCACGTAATCTTGATTCTATCCCTCTGTTAATGCAGCCCAACACTGTGTTGGCTTTTTTGGCAGCTGCAGCACACTGCTGGCTCATCTTTAAGTGATTGTCCAATCACTCCAAAATCCCTCTCACAGTTGCTACTATTGAGCAAGGTACCCCCTATACTATAGCAGTACATTTGGGTTTTCTTGCCTAAATGTAGAACCTTGTTTTCTACCTTACTATCAATGACATCTTTGCTTAAATTCTGTTTTCAATCACTTAAAGAAAAATTGACTTGGGTCACACAAAACACTGCAGTAGACTAAAATGAGAGGGCTCATTTGTGCTTCTTTATATTTTAAAAATTCCACCACTGACTTAGCCAGGCTAAGATGTAATAGAGTTTATTTATTTGGTTGAGCTGCATTATGTAAATGCAGGATCAAGATTTTATTAATCTGGATTTAAGAGTTTAACGCGGCTGTTCTGTTTTACCTCAAGGGATGATTGCAGGGAGAATTTCCTTAATCAGCTGGGATGACATGGTTATAATTTGAGCAGTTTCTGCCACACGGAGATTAAAAAAAACTGCTGTGTCAACTACAGTACAAGAAGTTTAATTGTTTACTTCAGAATAGTTTTTGTGTCAAATGACTTCATGGCAGTTCCTGGGAGAATTACATCTTGTAACTGTAGATATTGTTCCTGCTTGTTCGAGTATTAAATGAGCCATTGAAAAAAAAAGAGTGCATAGGTGTGCTTAATAATACATATGCCTTTTCCTTGATATATTCTCTTTGATTTTAATTAGCTTGTCCCTCTTTTTTCCTCCCTTCCCCCCTCACATTTTTGTAGGTAATTTTCTTGGGTTGAGACATGAGATCTTCAGCTTCCAGGTTGTCCAGCTTCTCCTCAAGGGATTCATTATGGAATCGGTAAGAAACAGTGTTTTAAGCCAAAATAACAGCTTTATGAGATCTATTGAAGTGCAACATTGCGTTGAAGATGCCTAGCTTCCTGTCTGTTGTTAGGAGTTACAAAATTGTGGCCTTTTCAGAGATGTTTGTGTGATTTTGGAAATTCTGCTCCTGCCTTTGCCCCACTTTTTATGATTTTAATATCTCCTTTTTTTAGAAAAAAATAATCTTGGTCTTTTTTTTTTCATGTTCCACTGGTTGTTTAATGCTTGCTGCTGTCATTGTTAAAACACTAGTCTTGTTTTGATTGAGATAATACAGAATAAGCACAATGACCCACGCACAGAGAAAAGAAACACACACACTCTTAAGCAGCCAATGCCATTTGAACAAAGAAAGACGGGATGCAAATACAGTTTTTTTAAAAAAGAGTGAATTTTTCCTAACCTCTGTAAAAATGGGTATTATATCCATTTAATAAACAGGGAAATAAAGGTTTAAAAACTTGACAATGAGTGAGGTAGACATTCATGGCCCTTTCTTATATACGTAGTCCTTGATTTACAAAGCATCCGTTTAGCAAATGTTCAGAGTTATGACAGCACTGCAAAAGGGTGATTTATGACCAGTTTTATGAATATTGCAGCCTCCCATAGAATTTTGATGTGATCAAAAATTCAGTTGTTTGGCAACCGGCAAATGTTCATGACAGTTTAAGTGTCCCAAGGTCATGTAATCATCATTTGCAATCTTCCCAGCTCACTTCCGACAAGCAAAGTCAATGGGGGGGGAGCCAAATTTCCTTAACAATTGTGTGATTCACTTAATGACTGTAAACATTCGCTTAATAACTGCAGCAAAAAAAAGGTTGTAAAATCAGGCCCAACTTAATGAGCGCCTCGCTTATCAATGAAAGTTCCGGTCTCAATTGTAGTCATAAATTGAGAATTACCTATAGACAATATAGTGTAAAATAAAGTTCTACATTTAGGCAAGAAAAACCAAATGCACAGGTATAGAATAGGTGGTACCTTGCTCAGTAGTAGCAACTGTGAGATGGACTTTGGAGTCCTAGTGGACAATCACTTACATAGGAGCCAGCCGTGTGCTGCAGCTGCCAAAAAAGCCAACACAGTGCTAGGCTGCATTAACAGAGGAATAGAATCAAGATCATGTGAAGTATTAATACCATATTACAATGCCTTGGTAAGGGCACACTTGGAATATTGCACCCAGTTTTGGTCACCACAATGTAAAAAAGATGTTGAGACTCTAGAAAGAGTACAGAGAAGAGCAACAAAGATGATTAGGGGACTGGAGGCTAAAGCATATAAGGAATGGTTGCTGGAATTGGGTATGTCTAGTTTAATGAAGAGAAGGATGAGAGGGGACATGATAGCAGTGTTCCAATATCTCAGGGGCTGCCTCAAAGAAGAGGGAGTCAAACTATTCTCCAAAGCGCCTGAAGGTAGGACAAGAAGCAACGGATGGAAACTAATCAAGGAGAGAAGCAACCTAGAATTAAGGAGAAACTGACAGTTAGAACAATTAACCAATGGTACAACCTGCCTCCAGAAGTGGTGAATACTCCAACACTGGAAGTTTTTAAGAAGAGACTGGACAGCCATTTGTCTGAAATGGTATAGGGTTTCTTGTCTGAGCAAGGGGTTGGACTAGATGACTTCCAAGGTCCCTTCCAACTTTATTATTATTATTATTATTATTATTATTATTATTATTATTATTATTGGAGCAATGAGTTGTGGCACAATTAATATGGCTGTTCTTTCTCCAGAATCTTCCTGAAGGTTTTCTGTATGTGAACATGTAAAGTTTCTCTAGGTAAGCTGTCCAGAATTACCTTGAGGTAGGATGGGCGGTCTATAAATTTTATAAATAAATATATGTGAATAGGGTAAGAAGGAAGACCCTACAGGGGAAGAACAGGATCTGGGACCCATCTGCTTTCGATCATAATGAAAATCCAATACACGTTGGGTGAATAGTATAATAGCATAATAATAATCCGATAGTATCTTTACAGCATTAGTTCTACAGGTAGTCTACAACATTTCATTTAGTGACTCTTCAAAGTTACATCAGCATTGAAAAAAATGACTTATGACCATTTTTCCCACTTACGACTATTGCATCATCCCCATGGTCATGTGATCAAAATTCGGATGTTTGGCAACTGACTCATATTTATGACGGTCACAGTGTTGCAAGCTCATGTGAGCCCTTTTTGTGACTTTCTAACAAGCAAAGCCAGATCCACTTAATAACCATGTCACTAACTTAACCACTGCAGAGATTCACTCAACAAGTGTGGCGCAAAAGATTGTAAAAATGGGGGGGAAATTCACTTAACAAATGTTTCCCTTAGCAACAAAAATTCTGGGGTCAATTGCGGTGGTCTTGCTGCAGAAGTTGATAGGGTATTATATCTGAGAATATTTACTCCCATCTCTAAATTCTGTACGGAATAGCTGCTAATAATACCGCCAGTTAATTTTATGTGGAGTAATTCAGACTATCAAAGCATGGAATCCAAATTAGTTTTGTAGCAACTTCCTTCAATAGGCTGATAATATTATCTGAAGGTTACGGCAAGTGGGAGAAAACTAGATGAAAGCTTCAAAGGTTGGCCTTTCCTTCTTGACTGGGAATTGTGAAAGTTGGAAGCAAGACAGAGGATGGGCTTCAGGTTTAATAAGTATAAGATGCTCGTTTTCACAAGACCATTTGACTGCTGGCAATTTCCAGCTGGCGGCCAAATTTGGCCCTACAGCCAGTGCAACAGTACTACAGAAACCATACTGGAAATATTACAAAGCCCATCCTACATGGCCCCCAGTCAGTACCAATGGACTGGGTTGCCAATGGCAATCATGACGCTGCAACTGTTGTAAATTTATGCCAATTGCCAAGTGCCCAGTTTTTGATTACATGACTTGCAGGGATGCTAAAACGGGTGGAATTTCTAGAGTCGCAAGCACCACTCATTCTATTTTGAACAGTTGTAGTCATTAACTGAGGATTACCTATGTATCTGAATATAACTAAAGATAGAAATTTCTAAGCAATACTGTGAATAATTCACCTGGATGGTTCCAAACGGTCTGGCGACCTTTGGTTATTCCGGCCTTAACACTGTTAAACACATAGCAGGAGTAAAATACATGAGGAAAAGTAGGGCACCAAGTGATCCCTTCTCAATTCTGCACCATGAAGGAAACAATTTGGTGGACAGGGACAATTATTTCCAACACTGCTATGGCTGAAGTGTAATATTCTGTGCTTGCAGCTCTGTGTTGTCTGCAAAGGTAACTTGGAGAAAGCCTGATTGGATCCTGATAGTCCTTGACATATGCTTAGCAACTGTTTGAAGTTATGATATAACTAAAAAGGGGGATTTACTACCTGGATCTGAAATTCCAATGATTGGACCCACCCCACAATCACGTGATCACACTGGGCTCTTAGCAATATGGTTTGCAGCATTCTGTGATCATGTGACCATGTTTTACAATAGTTTTTCTGAAAACCAGCACTTCTGTTTTTTGGCAAAAACCACACCCATAGCGAACCATCAATTTGGTTAATGCCCATGGCATTTGCTTAACAACGGCACCAAAAACATTGTAAAATCAGGCCAGTTATGTGAAGGACCCATTTTACCACTGTTATAACTTACCACTGTAATAGGCAGACTACATAACAGTCGTAATTCAAGGACCACCTGTATATACAAACACATTACATGTGTTTGAATATCTGTAAAGCAGCAAGAATCAATTTGGCCAATATTGGTCAGTGTTCATTTATAGAGATTCAACAAAGCTATGATATCTGATCCACATGAGAGTTATGATTTACCTCTTCCACACCTACAACATTCTCAGGTATAGAAATGCTGTCTAATATCTAACTAACTAAAAAGAGTGCAGAGAAGAGCAACAAAGATGAGCAGGGGACTGGAGGCTAAACCGGATAAAGAACGGTTGCTGGAATTGGGTATGTCTAGCTTAATGAAGAGAAGGACGAGGGGTGACGTGATAGCAGTGTTCCAGTATCTCAGGGGCTGCCGCAGAGAAGAGGGAGTCAAGCTATTCTCCAAAGCACCTGAAGGCAGGACAAGAGGCAATGGATGGAAACTAATCAAGGAGAGAAGAAACCTGGAACTAAGGAGAAACTTCCTGACAGTGAGAATAATTAACCAGTGGAACAACCTGCCTCCAGAAGTTGTGAATGCTCCAACACTAGAAGCTTTTAAGAAGAGACTGGACAGCCATTTGTCTGAAATGGTATAGGGTTTCCTGCCTGAGCAGGGGGCTGGACTAAAAGACCTCCAATGTCCCTTCCAGCTCTATTCTATTCTATTCTATTCTATTCTATTCTATTCTATTCTATTCTATTCTATTCTATTCTATTCCATTCCATTCCATTCCATTCCATTCCATTTTAATGTTTATTCTATTCTATTCTATTCTATTCTATTCTATTCTATTCTATTCTATTCTATTCTATTCTATTCCATTCCATTCCATTCCATTGCATTCTAATGTTTATTCTATTCTATTCTATTCTATTCTATTCTATTCTATTCTATTCTATTCCATTCCATTCCATTCCATTCCATTCCATTGCATTCTAATGTTTATTCTATTCTATTCTATTCTATTCTATTCTATTCTATTCTATTCTATTCCATTCCATTCCATTCCATTCCATTCCATTCTAATGTTTATTCTATTCTATTCTATTCTATTCCATTCCATTCCATTCCATTCCATTCCATTCCATTCCATTCCATTCTCTGAAAATTAAAACCACTCCTGCATGGAATGTGATTTGTGTGAAACCCTGCGGAGAATGTCGTAAGTGTTAAGAAGCGCATCCATTGATTGACCACACACCTCCCTTTCCATGCCAATTTTACAAAACAGAGAAAGGGTTCGGTATCTACATATCTTGTCTACAGTTTGGGTAAATGAAAACATCTGTAAGAAAACAAC